CTCGACACCTCCGCTGTCGAGGCACTACATGGGGTACACTAGCCCTACTAGATTCTCCCCTGAGAACACCACACGGACATGATTCACCAGACCGCATTGACGGGTATGAAATAGAGGGATGGGGCTCATACCTTGTAGAGTAGAGCGAGTGTCCGGCGGGGGGAGACGCCACACCTCAATATTTTCGCTTTGATTTTTTTCTTTGGCTCGTTCTGTATCCTTATCATTCCAAAGTAGCCCTGTACGCTCGGTAGTCTCGCACCGTCTTGCAGTGCAGGCAGCGGGCCTAGAAGCATTTCGAACCGCGCGATTATGGTCTTCGGCACCTGCCGTGAGAACATATAAGTCCGACTTCAACCACATCCCCCCCAATTCGCACCTTGACCACCATCGCCCACCATCGCCCGGAAACAATTGCAACAATGTACTCCTGCTTCAAGAATCTTTTGACTTCTTTGGAAGCCTTCGCCCTGAGCACATCTCCTGCGGCCGACGCGCCTCCCAACAGTGCCACATCGTCCGTCGCCACCGACAACGACGACTTCGACGGGTTGATGGACGCTACATACACTCCGAAGAACTCAATCGACGCGACTGATGAGGTACGATCTCTTCGCGACGCCTTGTCGATAATTGCATCTGAAGAAGATTGGTTATTAGTCGTCCTCACTGAAAGAACGCAAAATAACCGACCAGGCGGAAGAGGCCCTTGCTCGCGAGCCGGTCCTCTATCAACCTAAACCCCGTCGGGCGCGCCCTGCCTGGATCGACGCGAAGATGTTCGAGCCCACCCTCCTCCCCATCCCACGCCCCGCCATCGACGTCGTCGACGACGCGTACGGCGTCTTCAAAATAGGGTTAGGCGGCTACGAGGACGAGGAGGCCTTCGAGCCTATCGAGTCACAGAGGATGCTATCGCAGCTGTCATGGATTCAGCACATTGAAGGCCCGACTGTCGCGTGGCCACCCCCCATCATCCCCTTCATCTTCGATCCCTTCGAGGACCTCGTCGAGAAGCCTGAGCCCGCCTCACCATCCGCGTCGGCCTACTCGTATCTCAACCTTTCGCCCGCGTCCACCACCGAGCAATTGCCCACCATCGCCACGCCGCCCGACGACGACCGCTCGGCGACTGCCATGCCGAAGCAACATGCGCCACACGGGTCGGGGTCAGATTCAGACACGCCCGCATGGCCGAAGCTCGACGGGACACGCCCGATTACGCCTGGGCAGCTCCGCGAGTACGCGGACAAGTGCGCCGCTGCGGCACGGGCGCAACTCCAGCGATCGCCGCCCAAGCCACCGACGGCGCCACAAGAGCCACGGCGACCGCGCCCTTACCTCGACCGCTATCAGCGCATGACCGCCGCCGCCGCCGTTCCGCTAGCTGTTCCTCTGTGGCAGTCGACAATATGGTGAAGGTCGCGGGCTAACCAACGTCTGCGCGGGGTGGGGCAGAGACATCCCGATGCTGATTAGGCGAAGAAGGCTGAAATAGAGGGGATATTTTCCGGTACGCAGATGATGATTCTGGGGGATGTTTAACGAAGGAGGGTCAGACTCCGCACTGCGGTTGTACGATATTTCTTCTGGTTACATCTTGTACGAGTAGCAAAGTGTTGTCGGAGAGGGGGTAGTGACCTCTGTTTTCCTTTGTCTTGTTCTTCGCACCGTTTGTACTATCACTCTGTACGAGCAGAATAAACGTGCTCCGCTCTCCATCCATCCATATCGTTGGCCCTCCGACCTGAGAGGGGTGACGATGACGAGGCGCTGAGCACCGTTAGCCGAGCCCGGCTGCTGCCGAAGAAATACAAGGATCCATCGACAAGGCGATGGCGCTATAGCCTGGTTGTGCTTCATGTTTGTCGACGAGGAATTCGACCAGCCCCCATCTGACAGGCCACGGTCCAGGCGATAGACCGGGTAGGGCGGTTAATCAGGACGTCGAAGTGAGATTTGCGCCACAGCGGCCAGTGTAGCGTCTGCAAGTAGGCTGATGATCTCGCTTGAAAGCGACACCGTCAGTATACTCATAGCGTCTACATAGGCAACTGAAGTGACTAATACTACGATGGAACGACGCCACCACAGGGAGTTGCCATCAAATGAGGGATCGCTTGGGTGCGTGGCCGTCCCCGTAATCCTGGAAGATCCGTGGCTGACGACCAATGGCATCTCAGACAGTATAGCAATAACTAGACGTTGAGGTCCCAGAGTAGCCATAAGCTCGAGTGAAAGAACGGCATGCTCTAGTCTACGACGTGGACGAGTTACGGGCAAGTCGGCGAGTTTCCTTGGTCAAGCTGGCCCTGACCCACTCGCCCCTCGACGCCCACAAAAATGCTCGCATACGGTCGGATATTCAGTTGTTGACAAGTCTCTGGGGAACAAGGAACCAAAAGTGTAAGGCCAAGTCATCCGAGGAGTCGTCGTTCTCGAATACCCCTGACCGGTTAACTGCGCAAGATGGGTGTGTCCTTTGTGAGTCTCCCTGGTCTGTAAGTCGCCACTGAGTTGTCTACTAGGGAGAAAGTAGGCTAGGCAGGAAGAAGTCGGATCCCGAGCGTCGAAGAAACTGCTGGCGGGTTGGTCGATTGACAGAGAGAAGATGTGATCAGAGCCCGATCTTCTCCTAGGACGCACCCTTATATGGTCCCCAACCTCCTCGAACCAGTCATGCGTTTCCGCCAATGCAGTCCATTCCGTCAGTCTGCTCACGTCGGAAGCCCCTTATCATCCAGGATTTCGTGTGGGTCCCAGCCTCTCAGCGATCTTTCAGATGGAATCTCAGCCCCAAGTCCTCCTTTTCTAGATATTTCGAGTGCCATGCCTAAGGTGCGATACGTGAAGATCTTACTGCACAGCACAGTTGGTGACGAGTGTTCCGACATCCTCCAGGGAAGCAAAACGACGTATACGGAAGGCACCCAGGCAGTAGAAACGACCTCTAGTCAGACTCGAACCATGTCAAGCACAGAGCACAGCGGAGAAAGACGGGACGGAATACGTGCCAGACCGTGCGGACGAGGAGGGGAAGCGGGATGGCACGACTGACTTTTGCTCTTTGGGGACGGCATTTGCCAGGCTTGTCGTAAGATACGCGTCGCGTGGAGGCGCGATTAGCGACAAGGTTTGTGGCGCCCGATTTCATCTCCGAGTCTCCGTTTCGGTTCCTGGTGCGGTAAGCAGACAATTTGTGGCATCGAACCACGGCAAAGCAAGGGAGGACGATGATCCACTGGGTGAATACCAGAGATATACATTCGAACCAGTTTCAATTTGTATGACCTGGCGATCATCGGAACTAAGTATCAGCCACGGCATCAGCTGCGATGAAACGAGAGGACCGCGTTTTCCCCTTTGTCTCGTGGTATGCATCAAATCCTTTCTTTGCAATGGGCGTGCTGGTCTCAATCCCGTCGAACGGCTCGCCACTCGAGTAAGGCGTGCACAACCGCGTGATCCAACCCACTAGTACTAAGTAGACTCAACTGACTTGGGGGAAGCCGTGCAACTTAGGGCGATATTAATGACGATGGAAGAGAGAACGGTGAAAAGCATTGGCACGCTATTGGCTGCCACACTGAAGGTCTCATGCTCTTCAGAGTCAGTAATTCAGCAGTTCCTCTTGTACCGAAGCTCTCGCTTTCTCAATACTGTCAAGTTTTTGTTTTGAGTGGCTGTTGTACGATAGACCCGCCCTCGCAGTACTGTTCTCTCTAGTGCACCTATTTGTGTAGCCAGCAGCTGCGTGAGGTTATGGATAGACAGTGGAAGCTTCGATGAAGCTGGCGCGAGCCAGGCGGTCTCAGATACCGGGCGGTGATGCCTATTGCCTCCCTGTAGCCGAACACAAATGTATGACTGATATCTAGAAGCGCATTGTCCCTAACCCTCTAAGCCACTCGGCCAATTCGGACCCTGCCGCACTGTATCCAGACGGTTCAATGAACCCATCGACCCTTGACCGTGGGTCCGTGGGGCTCACAACAATAGCGTATCACGCTTGACAGGAGTGCAGAGGGCGGAAAGTATCCACTACTCCCCTCTCGCACTCCGATACATGGTTTCGGGCCTCGTCTTCCCTTTCACCGCTCCTGCGCTTGGACTATGGACGCGTCGATATTACCGTTGTGTCTGTCTCGCAGGAGTATTGTGAAGGACTTGACGGTGCTGCATGCGCCCACCATCGGACCCATCGACGTTTAGTTTCTTCAAGGAACGTACCGCGTTATCTGCGATGCAGCTGATGGCTGCGGTAAGTCAGCAGCGGTCTCTCAGCGAAGAGTCCGGAGCACACGCGACATATAACAGCTTTCCGGTCGCATCGCCACTTCCACTCTACAGGGCGACTTCCCCAAGGATAGGTAACGGTTTCCAGACGAAGCCAGGGCGCGACCGGGTCTGCTAACCATCTTCGGGCCTCAAGCGGTGTACTTCACGTGCGATACGGGGCGCATCTACGCTGCATTGATCGTTCCAGTCCAGTGCACAGGCTGGCACCTCCAGAGATTGGTAGAAGAGGCCGGTCCAACTGGACAGGACTGTTCTACCCATCTCCGGGGAACACTGCGCGTGATCTGAGCGTGCACTCTGAGTGGAAAGTTAGCTTCACGGGCGGACTCCACCAGAGATCGGTAGAACGGGTCAGTCCCCCAGGAGGTGGACCGTCCTGTGCTACCCATCTCCAGGAAATCGGGCACGGGCACGGGCATCCGAGTCGCATGTCCTGGTCTGACTTTACGCTGACCCCTCCAGAGATGGGGTCCTTGTTCCGGTCCAGTCTGGGAGAGTCGGGGAATCGGCACCCACCTCCCGGGGAAAGACAGCCCGCTAACAACCCGACTTCCCCAGAGACAGTATACAAATTGGACTGTCCAACAGATTCTCCGGTGCGTCGATCATCCCCGGCAAGTATGTATGCGGGATACGGAGTTGGCGTTCCCGTCCGCACGAGAAATTCCAGGACGGGCTCGCGCATGTTCAGGGATCGCGTAGAAGAAAAACAAAGAACGATGTGTCGGAGGTTTCACACACGCCAGACGGTATAAGAGACGTCATCCGGCTATCACATTTGCCTGCACTAAACCCCGACCGGCGCCTTCATCATTACTGACGCGGCAGCTGGGGTTTCAGGCCCGCCAGACGGTATAGCCAGATCGAATCTTGCACGGAGAGCGCATCCTGCCTGCGCTGAACACACGGGGAGAATGATCGGCGCTCGGCCGACTGACTGCACGGATACGAGCCAACTCGCCTGACATCAGTCACAACATACGCTTCTCCCCTCCTGGAACACCGTGCATTCGCGCGAGGGGAGAGTAACGCCGGCCTCTCGTCGCTTCGTTTGAATCTACAGCCCCTCGTCGTCGTCGTGGTCCACCATCCCGACGACTTCGGAGGGGGGAGAGGGGGGAGGAGAAGAGCGGGTTCAAGCGGTAATGGTCGACGAGCGCGAACTTCCCCGACGGGAGGGGGAGGGTTCGTCGCCAAACCAGAGCAGCGCGGAGGGGTCGAGGGAGGCGAGGGAGAGGGCGTGCAGGTTCTCCGGGCGCAGATGCAGGTCCGCGCGCGGGGTCTGCAGGAGGGGGCGGCCTTTCCCCGCGCGTCGGGGCGCGTCAGGGAGAGGAAGAGCGTGAGGGTGACGGAGGATGCGAGGCTGTCGAGGTCTGTGCCGGGAAGGGGTTAGCGCGGTGTAGGGATTTCGCCATCGAACGGATCGATTGTTAACTTTCAAGCAGATATACGTAAAAAGCCACCTACCGAGCGTACAAACCAATGCCAGAACACTCAAGGTCAGTAGATGCGCAGACGTATCCAAGACAGAAGGGAAGGTGGTGGTGGTTTAGTACACGCAGAAGAGGAGTCGGGATAGAGCTCCAAGCCTCCAATCTGATGTTCACATTAAGCCGAGACGACTCTCAAGAGGGCCACGACAAACACGGACGACTCAGAAAATTTCACCTTTACATATTCGCAGGCCAACATATAATGACATTCAGCAAGCATCCTGTATCTGAATCTACACAACAGCCGCCATATACACCTACGGACCTGGTCCCGCCGTTCCTACACCGGTCCTGAAACCCTCTCCCGACGAACAACTGCAGCCTACATGATAGAACAGTCAGTACAACGTCCTCCAAGTAATGAAAACATGGAAGGAAGGGTAAAGTCAGGATTGCAGAATGTAGTCCCCAAGCGGGCAAGGCCCGTAAGACTGTTGAGCTTGATCTTTGTGAATTCGGTATCATCATACAACGTCGACGCGACAGAAACGAAAAAATGATTGCCTCGAAAGCAGGTAGGAGGTTCACTTACCAAGGTCCCATGCGATGGTTCGGACGGGGCTGAAGAACGGAGGAGCAGAACGTGCAAGATAGAACGCAAAATTTCAAGATTTAAGTCGTGAGGCGTTTCCCACGAGTACCGTAGCAGACTCGCGATGTGGCTACGTAGCCTCTTCACCGTTACACGGTGATTTTCGCGGACCAGGTCCATACGAATACACTGAATTCTGGATATACATTTGTACAAATCTAATTGCTATAACAAGTGGAAGAGAAATGGTGAGTCCCAATAAGCCCCTACCGTATGGTATACACCGCCCACCCTGCCAACTCACGCTCAAGCCCCCCGGCCCCTCCCTCTCCCCCTCCCTCTCCCTCTAAATCCTCCCCTCCCAACACCCTCCGCAGATCCAAGCACCGCCCCCGCCCCGCCCCCGTCAGCAGCAGCATTAGGCCTTACCAAGATCCCCCTCGGCGCCGACGCACTATCAGGCGCCGTGGGCGTCGCCGGCGTACTCTCCCCCTTCTCCCGCTGCCGCGCCCGCACACCCGCACCGCTCAGCGCCGCCTCGAACTGGCGCGACGCGAGCCCGATCACGGGACGCCTGCGCGCCGGGCCTGCGGTGTTGGCGTTCGTGGATGCGGGCCCGGTTGTGGGTGTTGGAGGCTCGGGGTCGTCGATGCGCGCGGGCGTGGCGGTGGTGGGTGTATGTGGGCGGGGGGCGGAGCCGCGCATGGCTTTCGGTGCGCTGGGGGGTTTCTGGGTCTGGCTTTGGCTGGGATTCTGACTCTGATGCTGGGTTGCCGGGGCCGGCGCAGGCGCAGGCCGGCCCTTCGCCCCCTTCCCCTGTTGCTGCTGAGGTGCCTGTGCTCCGCCTCCGCCCTGTCCACCTTTCTTCCCCTTGCGCGGGGGAGACTGCGGGCCCGTGGCTTTCTCCTTCTCCTTCTCTTTCTTCTTGCCCCCCGCCTCGTCCTTGTGCGCGTGCGTATCCTTCTTCTCGCGCTGGATGAGCTTCGGCACGACAACGGGTTCCTGGGCTTTGTGTGTGGCCTTTTCTTTCTCGGCTTTGAGCGCCTCGAGGAGGGGCGTGGTGGTTGGCGGGGGTGGGGGTTGGGTTGATGCGACTGTGCGTTGACAGTCGTTGGGTCAGATCGGGTTGGTGAAAGGGGAGGAGGGAAAAGGGAAGGAGGTGAAGGGGAGGCTTACTGAGTGTTTCGAGTAGTGTCTCGGTATCTCCGGTTTTGCTCGGGCCTGCTTTCAGCGACTCGATAAACGAGATGTAGTCCTCGTCTATGTTGAATCAGCCTTCATCTCTACATGTTCGCGTGCTTATAGCGCCTAACACACCTTGCTCTATCGTCCCCTGGCGCGCGTCCGCCTTCTTCTTCTCCGCGGGTATCTTCTGGTACGGCGCGAACTCTACGACCGCCTGTGACTCGTTCCCTTCCCCACGCCATGAGCTTCAGCAACGAAAAGAAGAGGGGAAAGAGCTACCTGCTTTGTCCCTAAACACATGCCCGTCGTACTCCCGGCTGAACACCGCCAGCTGCTCCTCGCTCCGGAACGCGATGTACGCCCGCGCGGGGATGTTCTCCTTGTTCAGCCTTCAATTCACCCCTTCCTTATCAACATGCCATCCCGCTTCCCACTCAAGCAAAGGGACAAGTGCGATGACTCACTTCTTCGTCAGCTTCCCCGGGTAGAACACCTTCCAGCTTGCGGTCTCGGGCGTCACCCACGCGGCGACGCTCTGCCAGAACACGTCCTCGGGCAGGTTCGCGGGGAGGCGCCGCACGACGGTCTTCAGGCGCGCGGCGCTGCTGTTGCTGGAGCTCGAGCCCGCGGTGGACTTGCGTTCGCGGGGTTTCTTCTCGGATGAGGCGGCCATGGTTGGTAGGGGGTGGTGCTCAGGGAAGAGGTGTGGCAACAGAGGGGCGTGGGACAGGCAGGAGTGCTGCGTAGGTAACAGCGCAGTGTGGCACTGTTCTCACGTCCGAGTCTCCTGTGGTTGATGTCAGGCCTGGAGTGCCCCCTCACACTAGACGGTCAACTCTACATTCGCCCCTGGTTTTCATTCTAGATACAGCCTTTCATTTCTTCGAATATGGAAGTCGCGCACAAGGTAGCGGAAAGCGTGTCGAACGTGGCAGGTGCAGCCGAGGAGTTCGCGCGACAAATGACGGAAGGACAAGAGGCCGCTGCCGAGCAGAGCAAGGAGGACGTCGAGATGAAGGATGAGAGCGAGAAGAAACTGTCGCTGGAGGAGAGGAGAGCGAAGCTCGAGCAGCTCCGGAACAAAATGGTGCGCCCCGTCCACCCTTTGCCTCCGTTGTGCTAGCTCACCCTGGCATAGCGCTCTTCCGCCATCGCAAACCGCCAATCCCTCGTCGAAGAGTCACAAAAGCAGAAACTTGGCGCGAAGGAAGCTGCACGTTTAGACCGGCAGCGCAAGCTGGCCGAGACACTCAGGCTGAAGGCCGATGCGGAGGAGCGCGGCGAGGATATTGAACGCCAGAAGAACTGGGAGTATACGATTGAGGAGAACGATGAGTGGGAGAAGAAGAAAGCGAGGAAGGCGCGCAGGGCGGATTTCGAGTTCCATGGTGCGTGGTTTGCTTGTGCCAGAGTTCTAAGGCGAGTGCACGGCGTGGCTGACGGCGGTGGGATGTCTAGATGATGCACATGCGGCGAGGAGGAAGTATAAGAAGGACTTGGATTACATCAAGCCTGATCTCGCTGCGTATAATCGGCAGAAAGAGGTCGCGCTAGGTCTCGCACCAGGTACACTTGTAAAGCAGAACGGCAACGGCGAGGGATCGTCGACATCCATGGAGGTCTGTCCCGCACCGCTTCTACGACTGAGTACTTGTGTTATTTACATTTATGCACAATAGCTTATACCGTCCAGTCAACAGCAACAGCTTGCGGCGGAGAGTCTCTACCGGGATGCCAACACACTGCTGTACGCGGACAACAAACCAAGCGAGGAGGCTATCGATCGCGTGGTAGAGAAGCTGAACAGAGAGTACGTATTATACCTCCTCCCTCATGCCAATTCCGGTTCTCCGCTTCAGTTTTTTACCTGCATCCTTCGACGTCCTCCATATTCCCGCTTCTGTGTGAATGCTGACGGTCTTAATTGATCTCGTCCAGTATCGACAAGAAGCGCAAATTTCACCGCAAGCGCGCCAACGAGGATGAGGGCGACATCACATACATCAACGAGCGGAACCGTGTATTCAACAAGAAGGTTCTTCCTATTCCTTCCCCTCATTTCCCCACTTCTTTCGATTACTTACGCCCTTGCTACAGATCGCACGGTTCTACGACAAGTATACTGCCGAGATCCGCGCAAGCTTCGAGCGTGGTACCGCTCTATAACATGGCACGCCTGCCTCGCGTCGCGGTTTGTTCGACTATATATTCTATGCTCTTCAAGTATTGTATCATGATGTACTAATATGTGTAAATCTGAAACACCGCAACCACATGCATTCCATGGCCAACCTTGCATATCTGATGTTGCTCTCGCCACAACCACAATACTAACTGTTGTTGGAGGTGCTGCTATTGACCGTCACAGAGCCTTGGAACCGCTTCGCCTGGATTAAATAGGTGAGCATGCATCTACTGCGGTCCATATACTGCGCGTCTAATGTCAGGATCCGACCGTAAAATATGTTTTAGGGCTCCCCTTCTTCGAACCTGAATACGTAGAGGCGGACCCGTACCTACAACTGGACTAATACATGAATACAGACCTTTGATTGCGATTTACACCACGTCCCTTGGTGAGGTCGCATGTGGCGAGGAAAGCCTATCATTGATGCTAGTCTCATATGCAGGAGGCATCTGCGACTGGCGTTGCTCTGCTCGCAGTCGCTCAACCTCCTGCGCAAGACCCTGCGCGAGATTCACAAGGCGGTTCCTCTCGCTTCCGGCGTCAGTTCCGCGAGGACTCGAAGTGACCGTTGACAGAGACCGAGTCAGGGTCTCAGGCGAACGAAAACTGACGGTCGCGGGCACGGACGCGAGACTCCTCGTGCTGAGGCTCCTCTCAGCCGTCTCTCCGTCGTCCTCTGCCCCGGGAACCTTGTGTTCATGACGCCAATCAGAGCGTGACGCTCTTCTGCGGCGAAAAAGGTAGATGCCTCCTAGGCACGCGAGGAGTACGATTCCTCCTGCAGTGCCTCCAACAACAGCTGCCAGATTAGCTTTCTTTGTCGACGATGCACTGGCTTGGTCCATCGAGGAAGGAGTGGATGATGTTTTTGGGTAACTGACGGATGACGTCCAAGACGTTGCAGGCATCTCAGCGGTGTACGATCCGGTCGTGCCGTCATCCGTGCTGAAGAAGAGACGTCAGGGGACCGTCGACCTCAGGGCAAACAGACAGGCGCACGTGTAAACCGCGTAGTCGAAAAACATTTGGGGTAAGCCAGGGTCCCCGATCGTCAGGCCTAGCACATGGGTGGATGGAGAGAGACCTTCCCGAGAGTACGCCAGTTGATTATACTGTGTATGGGGCCCTTTTCCGTATGCCTGAAGCATGGGCTGCTCTCCGTCCAAGCTGTACGAGATCCCAAACGTGTTCTCCGAGAAGTCATTCATCGCTGGTATTATGTGATAGACATATATCGCAGTCCCTGTGTCGGGAAGCGAATCACCCGTAAGTCCAAAATGGTATTAGTTCGAGGAAATTACTTACCATCGAACGTGAGGTTGAGCTGGGTCCCACCACCAAGTACACTTGTGGTTTGATTGATAGTCATACCCGTCCAGGTCTGGTTGTAGGCGAGTGATGGGTCAACGCCTTGCAGACAGGTGGTGGTCAGGATGGGGTTCTGGCCGGGATTCTGGCAATTCGAGCTCTGGAATTCCCATCCGACTACCCAATTCGGCTTGCCACCGGTCTTTTCGTCTCCGTATGTATCGTCTATGGTTACATTCACCGAAGTAGCGGCCGAGAGATGAGCAAGCAGCAGCAATCGCAGGAATAAGCCAAGGTAGAACCACCGGACACCGGCAACGTATGCCATGTTACGGCTGGAGCTCGGCGGATTCTGCAGTCCCTAAGAAGCTGTCAGCAGCAGTAGTTCGAGGAATGAAGGACGAGGCACGTATCGACCAGCACGACTTTGTTCGGGGGGAATGAGGGCATCTACGAGTGAGGGCACCGCTGGTTTATTTATACACAGACATTGAACAACGCCATGATTAACAAAAGATGGTCATCGCCGTCGAGCATTCTCATCAAGTGGCATTTAACCAGTCCCGCGGTTCTGGCTCGTTGTAAGGTTTATGCAGCTCTATCCTTCGTATCCAACGTTCATACGGGAGATACTTCGATGCCGAGAATCGCTTGAGCATCGATCCGCCCAAGCGATTATGCTCTCTGACCTTTCCTGGGTTTGTTTCTCTTTTCTAAGACTAATACGCTGGAGATTAACATCATGATAGGGAAAGTACAAGGACGGCCATGATCCTATTTTTGCTTATATCCCGCAGCCCTCCATCGACAGATGGTAACGATAGTTGTCCTCACGATTGCTAGAGTATTTCCTCCTCAGAGATTCTTTTAGCATTTATTCCGCTCGGTCTTCATTGATAGTCGCCTATGAAGGTCGTGTTGGCGATTCATCGGATTTGCACCTCGAATCGAGTCCTCAGCGATCATCGCTAGACAACAGATGAGCACGCGTACTCCGTTCTACCGAGTGTTGTCCTCACTACTCGCCCTTTATTTCGTTGTGCATAAGTCTCTACCACCGGTATCAGGAATACAACAATTCAGTCAAGTCAATCCTGAGGTCCCAGTGTCCCTACAATTACATGAAAATTTGAACTTCATTGTCCCAACTGCAGTTTATGCCATGTCTCCAGGAAACATTCCGTCTGGCGGCCCAAGCTCATCATAGGCAGGAGGTACGTGCAGCTGTCCATGCTCCGCTCGCAGTCGCTCTACCTCCTGCTCGAGGATCGTAAGGCGATTACGCTCGCTCTCAAGGTAAGTGCATTGTAGACTAGGGTTGGTAATGAGCGGAGTACGAGTCTCAGTCTCTGGTGAAGGGAGTCCGGCGGACGCTGGATTCGACAGGATGTTCCCAAGATTTTGTGATATCCCACTGCCTCCCGTCTCGGGAGCCTTATACCCAATGGAATTCGTGGGGTCCCTGTGTGGGCGTGATCTTGATCTGCGGCGAAAAATGTAGACGGCTCCTAAGCAAACGAAAAATACGATCCCTCCGACTGCGCCCACCACGATAGGTGCCACGGGAAGTTTTATGCCAGTGGTTGATGATACGTCCCCTTGATATGAGGAAGCAGTACGTGACACGTTGGAGGCACTGTCGGATGTCCCGGAAGCCACGGGAGACAATCCGGTCGTATCGTCATCTGTACTATGAACGCAGCGTTAGGGATTAGACATTCTGAGGCGGAAAGGAGATGCATACGTATAAATCGCATAGTCGAAGAACATCTGGGGTAGGCCAGGGTCCCCAATTGTCACTCCCAGTGTATGAGTAGATGGAGATAGACCTTCCCGTGAGTACGCGAGTTGGTTGTATTGTGTATGAGGGGTCTTGCTGTACGCTTCAAGCTTAGAGTCGTCTTCATCGAGGCTGTACGCAATGCCAAACGTGGTCTCCGAGAAGTCGTTGATCGCTGGAATTACGTGATAAACGTATATAGCAGTTCCTGTGTCACAGATTGAGAATCCAGGATAGCATCGGTACACGATAGCCACTCACCATTGAATGTGAGGTTCAGTTGGGTCAACCCACCAAGTGTACTGGTAGTTTGGTTGATAGTCATCCCAGTCCAGGTCTGGTTATAAGCGAGCGACGAGTCAACACCCTGCAGGCAGGTAGTGGTCAAGATGGGATTCGTTCCGGGATGCTGACATTCCAAGCTCTGGAACTCGAATCCGACAACCCAGTTCGGCTTGAGGCCAGTCTTTTCGTCTCCATACGTGTCGTCTATGGTAATATTCACCATAACAGCGGCCGAGAAATGAACAAGCATCAGCAATCGCAGGAATAAGGTGAGGTTGCACAATTGGAAGTCGCCACGGTATGCCATGATATAGCGAAAGATCTGCAGGTTCTAGCGACCGCCACGAGAGCATCAGCAACACGCACAGGAGCAAAGGAAAATTCACGCACCGACCAGCGCAACCTGGTTGAGGCAATTGAGGTCTACCAGGGAGACGTCAGTTTATCTATTGAGGAAAGAGAAGAGCTCTATGATTAGCGAAAGATAGCCATCAGCATAGCGAACTTCTGTTCCAACAGTCTGGGGTATTGACGTTTTAGTACACCTTGAAGATTTGTGCAGCCACGTCCTGCGGGCTGCGGGCCCCGGGGACGGAGATGGAACCATATCTCGTAGCTATCCGGTTGTTAACGAGGTACGCCCACAACACAGGGCTTCGTCCTTACACGCACGAAGCAAGACAGAGTCTTGATCTATATATGCGCTCGAATCCTCGATGACCTCGCACCGCATCTTCTGGAGAAGGACAGGTAGACAAGCGGCAAATTAAACCGATTCAGAAGATTCATCCAAAAAGACATATCTGGGATAATTGTCAGCAATAACTTGGACATGCACAGATAGGCTCTATCTGAGCTTCTGACTTCTCTCACTCTAAGCTAGTCTTCAGTATCTTCCTGGTCCGCTTATTCTCCCCGAATAATTGCCTGAGAAGAACTTGAACACGATCAGGGAGGACAGAAAGAAGCAGCCTTCAAAGTTCGGAGCTATTCAACATTTTCTGGACCCGCCGTGATCGCGGAGGCCTTTCCGAAGTGGCCGCTCGCATCGAAAAGAAAACAAGAAGTTACTGTTTGCAAATATCCGGCCGTGATGGAACATAGCAGGACGTACATACAGGGACGCCCAATCAGAGACGAGCACACTCGGCCGTGACACAGTTCCAGGCACTGCTGCATCACTGTTTCCTGGGAGGTCAGTCTCAATTGGATTTACGGTGCGGAGGACGTAGGACATTGCCGGGGGCGCAACTTGCGTAAGTCAGAAAAACCCTTGCAAATTCTCAGACCGCCCTATGGAAGAGCCATATTCGGAGTGGAGATGGCAACCGCTTTCTTTCGGGAGATAACGGAAGACGAAGGACAGCGGTCAGTCTGCAGGTGGTTGGAGGAGATTAAGATCTTTGAATTAGCTTAGACCATCACGTCAACAGTTCATGTAGCAGCTTGCACCTGAGAACCTCTCACTGATGCTAAAACGCTAGTGTATGCAAATAACGAGACAAGGAATTCAGGCTATGGAAAATGTGTTGCAGGACAACAGCTCATGAAAACGTTGTTGAAGGGGGGGGAGATTGCGTACCGGCATTCTCGTCGATCCTGACCTCATCATAACCTCCAGAATCATACGGCTAAGAAGGTATTGGTCCGCCTTGTCGAATCAGAGTGAGGCGAGGCCTGTCGACGCTTCCATGCGTCCAAAATGGCTCAATCTCTTGTTCCACCCTGGCCGTTATAATAAGCGCGCTCCCGCTCGCCCCTAATTGAGGTGCCGTCCGCCCTGAAAAGCGCTGAAGATTCCGTCTCACCGACAGGCAGCGAGAATGCGAAACTTGGCGTAGGTCCAGATAAACTCGCTACGCCGTTTCTCCACAGTGCTGCATGATGCCCTCCCTCGTTCGAATCGTTGCGGGAGACAGAAGCGGGACCCTGGATGCGGCGGAGTTTAGACACATGGTAGAGAAGGCAGACGACCCCAATGCCAGCAAGGAATGCGAGTCCCCCAATTATGCGACCAGCGATAGCTCCTACGTTAGCTTGCCCGGCTAATGGGGATGTATTTAACAAAGAGGGACTGCCTGACGATGCCTTGGGCGCAGAATGCGTGAAAACAGTGCTGGGTAACACAGGGTTGCCGTCATCAGTGCTGAGAAGCACAGGTTAGAAAGAAACAAATAAATCCTAGAGCCAGAAGTGTCAACTTACGTGTAGACGGCGTAGTCGAAAAACAAGTGCGGGGTCCCCAAGATGCACGCCTAACGTATGATGAGATATGGTAAGGTCGACTCGCGAATATGCCAGTTGGTTGTATTGAGTGGAAGATGTTTTGGTATATGAGTGCAACGCATATGCTTCGTTGTCCAGTCCGAAACTGATCCAGAAGGCGTCTTCGACGTAGGGATTCGATGCCGGGATAATATGATACACATAAATAGCGGTGCCTACGTGCGGGCCGTCTCTTTTGGTTATTCCATGGCGCAATCGATGCTGGACAATCCCTCACCATAGAAAGTGAGATTCAGTTGCGAGCCGAGACCATATGAGGTTGTGGTTGCATTTATAACCACGCCGGTCCAAGTATTTTGGAAGGCTGTCGCTGGATTGACCTCTTGCAGACAGGTGGTGGTTAGAATTGGGCTGCTTCCGGGATCTTCACACTGCGAATTGTTGTATCTCCAGCCATCTGCCCAGTTCGGCAAAACAGCAGACTTCTCGTCCCCAAATATGTCATCGATAGTAACGTTGACCGGAATGGCTCTGGAGGAATGAACAAAGGGAAGGATTATCTGGAGCAGCAGGGGAATAATGTATGATAATCGCAAGTCGGCACGGCCTCAGAATCCAGACGGAGTAATCTAAAAACACCATAGTAGCAGCAACATGGTTATCACTGAATGACACGGGCCAACGCGGAATGTCTACATACCAGGCGGGAGAGCCGCGTTGGGGGAGATGGGACTGACCGGAGCGGAAGTTGGCTTGCTTTCATCCGGAGTCAAGACGGACTATAAGTAGATGAAAGAAAGATATCACCCGTTGTTCAACACTGCGTATGGGCGGTTTCCTCGCTCGGACGTATTGAACAGTCATAGTTGCCAGGCCGATCGTACGTTACATCCACATGAGGACAGTGGCCACCCTGGACGCCATTGGGTGTTACCGTCGCATTTGCATACTCATCCGGGCCTATAGGCACGGGCGGGTTGGAGGGAACGCCGTAGAATGTTATGGGCTCATTAGAGTCGAAAAGATGCAAGAAGTCCCGTACTATGTATGGTGCACATGTCAATCAAGATCACTGGCAGTTCAAGTTGGGTACAAAGAAAGAGGTCGAACAGCACGTGGATCTCGATATTTGTGTGGCACAGTGCCAGGCACAGCCTACCTGGTACTGTATCGTAGGTCCAGGGCGCTATGTTGCCGACGGACACCGGCAACCTTGGGTTCCCTTATAATGTCCATATCAGAAAGCTACTTAGTTGTCAAGGAGTAGGCTTGATCCTGCGCCTCTTAAAAAAGACTTAGTAGACGAGCAACTGTCTTTAATGGAGGCTTGTACCCGTTTAGTATCAGCGTCGCAGAAGTCCCCCCCAGGCTCTCGCGCGTGCTCAAAAAGGCAGGATTCTCCGCCCAAAACGGCAGGTGCACATGGTTGGCATCTGCCGGACCTCGGCACGTATATAGTCTCGACCTCTTCAACGCTTCCTCTACCCTACACCGAGGGTTATACTGCCTATAACGTACGCGCTGAATGCACAAGAGCGCATAGAACCTCATTTACACAATTTCTTTAAAGTGGGGGGGTCGAGGCACTAAATGTGGCCCAGTAGAAGCCTTACTGGGATCAAAAATCACGCTGAGAGAACTGTAGCGTCTCCTACTGTCAGTGGGGAGTCCCAAAGCTCAGTAGCTCCTCCTGGTACATTATTCACAGGATAAA